TTAGGGTAGTAAAAAGGCAAAAAGTAGAAAGAAAGAAATCAGTCCATAGACTACAAGCAGGGAGACAGGAAATGTTGAAATTACTTCAATCCACAAAACATTGTTACTAACAAGAGCAGGAAATCTAATAACAGTCCAATAAGTGTCAAAATCGCCGCTTTATTCTTACTTTGGGGACTGGATGTTATTATTATTTGATGATGGGTTTTTTTGTATGTGTGTTTTTGTTTGTAATAAGACTAATAAAATTTTTATTAAAAAAAAGAATAAACATGATTTGGACAACAATAGATCTGATTGTTAAAACACAAAAGGTTGATATAGAAACAAGTATATGGGCAGACCACAATCAAATAATAATAACATGGAAAGGTCAGAGAAAAAGAAACACATATTGGTGTTGTCCTGAGTCGTGAAAGCTGAAAAACCACTCCATTCTGTGAGCTGAGCTTTCCCTCAGGAGTTGGACCAAAGCATTTCTCAGAATTGGCAAAAGAACTCAATTTATGCCTATAAAATGTTTATTGGCAAAAGAACTCAATTTATGGCTATAAAATGTTAGTTTTCACCCAGAGCTCAGATTCCCCCAAGAAACACATGATGTTGTCCTGTCGGGAAAGCTAAAATACCACTCCATTCTGTGACCTGAGCTTTCCCTCAGGAGTTAGACTAAAGCAGAATTGGCAAAAGAACTCAATTCAGCCATAAAATGTTAGTTTTGACCCAGAGCTCAGATTACTACAAGAAACACATATTGGTGTTGTCCTGAGTCAGGAAAGCTGAAACACCATTCTGTGATCTGATCTTCCCTCAGGAGTTAGACCAAAGCATATCTCAGAATTGGCAAAAGAACTCAATTCAGCCATAAAACGTTAGTTTTGACCCAGAGCTCAGATTCCCACAAGAAACACATATTGGTGTGGTCCTGAGTCAGGAAAGCTGAAAAACCATTCCATTCTGTGATCTGAGCTTTCTCTGAGAAGTTAGACCAAAGCGTATCTCAGAATTGGCAAAAGAACTCAATTCAGCCAGAAAACGTTATTTTTGACCCAGAGCTCAGATTCAAACAAGAAACACATACTGGTGTGGTCCTGAGGGAGGGAAAGTTGAAAAACCACTCCATTCGGTGATCTGAGGTTTCCCCAAGGAGTTAGACCAAAGCGTATCTCAGAATTGGCACAATCTTTTGAAATGGACTTTCATGCTGACAGATGCATTGTGAAGTTGGTAGAATGGCAGCCATGATATCAAGCATATAAGCATGTATTTTATTATCAAATGGGAAACCTGTATAAAGGCAATTCAGAGAAGTTTGACTTTTATTTTCTTTGCACATTACATAGCTAAATTTGATTAATAACAAAATCCAAAAACCACATTTTGGCTTCATGTGATATGTGAAAGTAGCCACTATCTGCCTTTCTGTAGCTCAACAAACATACCATCACCATCAATTTTAGAAACATCTTGAATTGATTCAGAGTCAAAGACTTTCACAGAGAGCCA